AATAATCATGAAGATTAAAATTAAAAAAGAGAGACATAAATTGGATAGAAGAAACAACAGAACATAAGTTTACCAAACTCCCAATCTCACTCCAAATCACTAAATACTGAATTCTTCGTCCTTGGTGTCACTTCTGCGCAACCTCCAGAGATAAACTATAGATCCATGATGTAAAAGGAGCACTGCTTCCTCTTCTGTGTCACTGTCCTCAGACTCAGCATCAGTTCCAGTCAGAATGATTCCGGGCTTTCTGAATCCCGACAGGATGGTTTCGATTGTCATTGAAGTTCAGGTTTTGTCGATTCATCCAGTGACATCCAGGAAAGTTTCACGGTGCATCCTCCCAGTTACCGTGAAGCTGTGTTCTCCATCCCCACTTTTCCACCAGTCCCAAGTTTCTCACTCACTCCAAACTTTCTTTCTGCTGCTCAATTACCGTTTTCGGCTGAATATTTCACTATTTGCAGCGAAACAGCGTTTTTTTCTGACATGCACAGTAGAGTGAAGTGACAGTGGAATAGGAGCAGCAGATAAGACTAGAGCCTTTCACCGCCGTCAGTGTGAAAATTTTAATAAATAAGTCGCACCAGAGTATACCATGAAAAAAAGTGCAACTTATAGTCCGAAAAATACGGTAATTGCAGTGGTACTTTGTGAGTTAACAGCTCCTTTTACCTTTAGTTCAATAGAGATTAACAATTCCAGGGCTGAAATGATCCAAATGATTTTAGTAAAGCTGTATGGAGTTTAAAAACATAGTGGAGCACTTCCTGTATTACCACATGAGACAACTCCAGGCCTGTTTTTAATGAGGAAACAACATTATAACAAACCGGTAGATCAAAAAACAGCATAAACTGGGCCCTTTGATTCAATCTTAGTCAACCTTTTACTTCCAAAAAACACAATGAGCTCATAAATGCGATTATACTGTTTTGCTTTGTACATTCCGACAGCTCCCATGACTCACGGCGCCCCCTCCTGTCTTCCGGTTGCTGTTGTAGGTCAGTCCCAGTCACGTTTTCTCTCCCCTCTCCCTGAACTTAATGTAATTGTGCATCTAAATCTGTCCAGGAGCTAAAGAATGACTGTTGACGCTTCTGTTTCCCGCCGTCCAAGTCTCCTCGCGTGCCCGCCGTTAACATACATTATCCAAACCGACATTTTCAACGCTGCCAAGTGCATTACAAAGCACCTCCTGGACCCGAGCTGGAGATATGAGGCGGGGGGACGTCATTTACTGAGCTGCTGGCCTGGAAAAAGCGTTATATTATACGGTAAATAGATGGAGGTTTATGGAGCAGTTACTGTAAATATCAGGTTTATGTTGGGCTTTGTGGTGGTGAGTATTTTTTATAAGTGTTCAGGATGGTGAAGAAGATGAGGGTGACCAGATTTTAAAATCAAAAACTGGGATGCCCCTGGTTTATGGTGGTTGGCAGGGGTTTAGAGGGCGTGGTACGTGGGGGTTCGCCGTCCACCCACTTCTCCCAATGTGAGATATAAAAAATAACAAATATAAAATACTTAAATGACAAATCGGAGCTACTGGCAATGGTGAAAACAACCTGCATACGCTCATGATATCTGCAGTAGAGTCCTGCGGGGTTCCACTTTTGGAGACTCGTACCCGCCCGTTTACCCGTGTTTATATCAAAGTTAAACCCACACTCACCCAAACCTGTTAAGATTCCACTCGTTACCCGCCTGTGCCCGTGATAAATGACACAAAAATTAAAAGTATTCTAACTGAAGCATCCATCAGAATACGAATTGAAAAGTTACGACTTTAAGAATTACAATCACGAAATGAAATGAAACGGTTACACTTTGTTCACTACGAAGACAAATTCACAAACTGTCATCACTTTACAGGGATTATTTACTGAGCAGAAGAAACACGCCACGGACTGAACCAGGACTAAACCACAACTAACCTAGGACCGATTCCAGAACTAAACCAGAACTAAACTAGATCTAAAACAGGACTAAACCAGAACTGAACCAGGACTCACTGGACAAGCTCGGAGGTGCATCTGTGTAGACCGTTGAGTGACTGCAGGCGAAAGGACCGGCACAGAGCTCCGCGCCGCATGGAGTGGAGCTGTTGCGCAATTGTACTTTGCGGACACCCTGCTCTGTGGGCTTGGGGTTCTTTCTCTCTCTTAAGTCTAAGATTAGCCCTAGTGTAGTCCTGGTTTAGTTCTGACCTGCTTGTGTGTAATCACTACCCGCCCGTAAAATTCCAGAACGTTAAAACCCGCCCGTTTCAGCCACTATTTGCCTTTACCTACGGGTACCCGACCCGGTGCAGGACTCTGATCTGCAGTACTGTCCTACAGTGACCTGAGACATGAGGGACCAGGACTGAACCAGGACTAAACCAGGAACCAGGACTGAACCAGGACTAAAACAGGGCTGAACCAGGACTAAAACAGGACTGAACCATGTCTGAAACAGGACTGAACCAGGACTAAACCAGGGCTGAACCAGGACTGAACCATGTCTGAAACAGGACTGAACCAGGACTGAACCAGGACTAAAACAGGACTGAACCATGTCTGAAACAGGACTGAACCAGGTCTAAACCAGGACTGAACCAGGACTAAACCAGGGCTGAACCAGGACTGAACTAGGACTGAACCATGTCTGAAACAGGACTGAACCAGGACTGAACCAGGACTAAAACAGGACTGAACCATGTCTGAAACAGGACTGAACCATGTCTGAAACAGGACTGAACCAGGTCTAAACCAGGACTGAACCAGGTCTAAACCAGGACTGAACCAGGACTGAACCAGGTCTAAAACAGGGCTAAAACAGGACTGAACCAGGACTGAATTAGGACTAAACCAGGACAAAACCAGGACTAAAACAGCACTAAAAGAGGACTGTACCAGGAATGTACCAGGTCTAAAACAGGCCTGAACCAGGACTAAATCAGGACTGAACCAGGACTGAACCAGGACTGAACCAGAACTAAAACAGGTCTAAAAAGGACTGAACCAGGACTAAGTCAGGCCTGAAACAGAACTGTACAAGGACTGAGTGTCAGGTCGGATCGGGCCCGGAGCTGTGCCGGTCTACGCAGGCACTTAATAAAAAAAAGTTCTATATTATGTAAAATTGAGCTTTAAGTCATGTTAGAATGGTTTTATTTTTGTCCAGGTTTGTTTGTGATGAGGAAACAACATGATGACATAGAACAGAAAACAGCGTAATATTGTCTCTTTAATAAGTATACACAGACAGAACACTTATGTAATTTTGACCCTAAGAACTGTTTTTACTTTATCTGTCTTGTGATAAGACCAGTTTAACTTTATTACGTGACCACAAATGGGTTTAATCTCTTGAAGTTTGTCCAAGGCTCAAGGAAAAATGCTGTTTCATATGTGGAGGATCAGGTTTGGGCAGTGCCAGAGTCTGTTGTGTAAACACTGAAAGATTAGAGACGACAAAAAAACATATCTGAGTATCGAAGGGTGAAGGAACGTTTAAGACTGAACTTTAAAATTCGGTTTATTTATTTATTTCACGAACCATGAATATTAAAGTACGATATTTGGATATTTTCTGATCTGTTTTATAATGTTTCTTCATCGGAAACAGACCTGGAGTTATTTTGCTTGCTAAACCAGGACTAAACCAGGACTAAACAAGGTCTAAACCAGGACTAAACAAGGACTAAACAAGGACTAAACAAGGACTAAACAAGGACTAAACCAGGACTAAACCAGGACTAAAAGCAGGCCTAAAAGAAGGACTAAAAGCAGGACTAAAAGTAGGACTAAACCAGGGCTAAACCAGGACTAAACTAGGACTAAATTAGGACTAAAAGCAGAACTAAAGCAGGTCTAAGGCAGGTTTAAACTAGGACTAAACCAGGACTAAACAAGAACTAAACCAGGACTAAACTAGGACTAAAAGCAGGACTAAAAGTAGGACTAAACCAGCACTAAACCAGGACTAAACCAGGACAAAACAAGGACTAAACATGGACTAAACCAGGACTAAAAGCAGGACTAAAAGCAGGACTAAAAGTAGGAGTAAACCAGGGCTAAACCAGGGCTAAACCAGGACTAAACCAGGACTAAACTAGGACTAAACTAGGACTAAAAGCAGAACTAAAGCAGGTCTAAGGCAGGTTTAAACTGGGACTAAACCAGGACTAAACAAGAACTAAACCAGGACTAAAATAGGATTAAAAGCAGGACTAAAAGTAGGACTAAACTAGGACTAAACCAGTACTAAACCAGGACTAAACCAGGACTAAACTAGGACTAAAAGCAGAACTAAAGCAGGTCTAAACCAGGACTAAAAGCAGGACTAAAAGCTGGACTAAGCCAGGTCTAAACCAGGTCTAAACCAGGTCTAAACCAGGACTAAACAAGGTCTAAACCAGGACTAAACAAGGTCTAAACCAGGACTAAACAAGGTCTAAACCAGGACTAAACCAGGACCAGGTAGTCTTAAAAATCATGACAATATCAAGTAATCCAAAGTATTCAGATTGCGTTATTCACTTTAAGTAGTTTAATGGATTATGTTACAAACTACATTTTAGTGTGTGTAATCTGTAATCTGTAATCTGTAGGGGAATACATTTTTAAAGTCACCTTCCCAACACTGGTTATAAATTATTACGATGTTCAGAATGCTTAAGGACCGCTGCAAACCGAGGGCGACAGTAGCACAGTTGGTAGAGAGTGTTTTTTTGTGTTGAGTGGTGTGATTCCAGCTCCCACAGATGAATCCTGTTGTCGTGTCCTTGGGCAAGACACTTAACCTACTTCACCCCCAGTGTCTGCGTACACTGGGGTCTGAGTGTTTTGTGTGAATAGATGAGTGGTTCCTTGTTGTGAAGAGCTTTGCGTGTCTTGAAAATGGAAAAGCGCAGTATAAAAATGTGACCTTTTACCATTTAATCACGTAAAATGTTTATAATGGGAGTTTTTGTTCAAGAAATTCTAATGCTGTTTCTTGTTTCTTGTTTGCAGCATCAAGTTACTGGCTGTTCAGGACCTGCTGGACCGAGAGGCACTGGATAAGGTAAACAAATTCTGATTTTAGAATTAATTATGATTCATTTAAAGGTCCTAAATTACACAAAACTGTCTCTTGTGAGCTTTAAGACGTGTTAGAATACAGTTACCTCCTCACAAACAGAGCTGGAGTTGTGTTTTGTTTCGTTCACACATGTTTGAGTAATCTTTTATTATTAGTCTGTCGATTTTACCTTGTGATGTCATGCAGTGGTAGTTTTGAAGTTAACAGCTCCTTTTACCTTTAGTTCAATAGAGATGAGCAATTCCAAATGATTTTAGTGAAGGTGTACAGTGTTGGGCATTTTATTTTAGAGTTGCCATGTTGTAATTAATTCCTCAGCAAAGTAATTATCCAGATATTTTTCATGTTATGTATTATTGCCCGAAAAATCGAGTTTGGCTTTAATGCAGTGGATCCGTCTTCACTAGAACTCACGCTAAAAACTGCGCCAGGGCTCGGGCTGAACAGCAGTGAGAGGTGTGTTATAGGTGTGAGTTTGTCTCATTTCGCCTGAAGTGTGATGGAAACAAACAACAAGTCAGTGTGTTGTCCCTGCTCTCTCCTGGGCTCTCCCCGCTCCTGCTGATTGGGGTTGGGCGGTATCCAAATTTTGATTCCGTTAAACCTTTTTTGGATTTTACCACGGTTTACCGTATTACCAACATTTTTTTGTACGACTTTGATACGCACCACTGTACAGTCTATGTGTGTGATCTGCAGATTTATTATCTCTGAAATTAGCTTCACATGAACTCATGATTCGCACAGAACAGACTCACCGCCAGCAGCACATCCTCTGTCACAGAAAGAACACTCATATTCCACTGAGTCATGTCCTTTAGGCCGACAAAAGCTGAATCGCATCAGCAGCACAAGAAGAGAGCTGTTTTTATCAGCACTTCGTTTCTGTAAAAAACATAAACAAATATGCGCCTGAAGCCAAAATGCTGCACATTGCAGAAGTACAAGTATATTTTTGGGGACCAACTCATTTGCGGCCAGACTTGCTGTCTTGTCTTTGTCTCCCTTATGAGTGTCACGTGACAAAGGAATTAAACTAATCGAATGTCGTCTCCCCACCAGATAAAAGAAACATTATAGATATTATTAGTTTTAAATCGTTTGCTGAACAAACAAATTTATGTATCAATAAATTATATTATTATATTAGGTCCTTATGTGCTGCAGATATTTTTAATGACGGTAATGAAACTGATACCGTTGCTACTTATACTACAGTGAAATACCATAATACTGTATTACCGCCCAACCCTACTGCTGATGATGTGCGTCCGTCTGCTGCATGAAGCCTGACACCGCGCCGCCTCATTCAACCCAACTGTAACGTGCCACTTTGCTTTCCCGGTAACGATAACGGCGTTGGAATGATGAGGATTGTAATTACCGTATTTTCTGGGCTATTAGACGTGCTTTTAAACCTCCAACCCCATCAAAAAACGACCGCGCCCCACAATCCAGAGCGCCCGTGTATAGGACACGAATCCACTCGAGTGTCCCAGCACGACTTCAGTAAACTACAAAGCCGCACCACCCGCAGAACACGCAAACACACACGGAGCAGACAGCAACTGCACAGCGAAAAACACCCACAGACACACTCATCACTGCACGCCGACGAGGAACGGAACGGAGGAACGAACCAAAATAGTGAGTCCAATGTGCCACTTCTAGACACGACTGAACAACTGAGTCACTGCGAACACGCCGACAATCCAGCGGTCCCAGACAGCACCCTCCCTACACGCCACAACTGAACAAAGCCCAGAGTCACTGTGAACGCCACAAATAAAGTCCCACTGACCCATCTAAGGCTACGTTTGGACTGCAGCCTGATTTTTTGGCCCCTATGTGACCTGTATCTGATCTTTTAATGACAGTCTGAACGACACAGATCTGATTTTTTCAAATGTGACCCAGGACACTTGGATATGTGGTCCAAAAACCGATACATATCTGATCTTTTGACATGCGATTTCAGTCTGAACGGTCAAAGCGCATTCATCCGACCTACACGTTATCAACAAGACACAAACGTCACTATTCTGCGCTGAAGTAGGTGAAAATTGTTAATGAACTCCGTGTCACTGAAGCGAAGCACATCACCACTCACCACTCTTGACTACGTCTCCACATCCACACGTTCCTTTCAACGGACGTCGCTGCCGCTGTCCCACAAAACACCACGGCCAAAAACCTCGTCCTTCTCCTTCTCAATCTCCTCCTTAAAACAAATAAGTTGTTCATGTTCTGGCTCCGGTACGAGAGGAACTTTAAAATCTCCAGGTGCTCAATGCTCGCGTCCATGTTTGGACAACTTCTGTAAACACAGAGCACGCTCGCTGCGGTTGACGTCGTTGTGTCTCCAGTGCACATGCGGGACACTTTTGGGCCGTTTAATGTTCACACTGGAGTCACATACAAGTCACATTTAATTGGAAATGTGAACGACCTCGCAAAAACATCGTATTTCACAAAAAATCTGATATTGAGCGTTAAGCCCTGCAGTCTGAACGTAGCCTAACTGTTGTGTTTCGTTTAAAGTCCAGTGCGGTTTAGTTGAGAAAAATGTTCAAAAATAGACCATTTAATGACAGTGCGCCTTATAGTGCGGTAAATACGGTAATTAGAAAAAAAAAAAGGTAGAGCCGTTAGTAGCGTTGTTATAGTTAAACGGCATTATTCCCAACACTGAAGGTCTATGGTGTTTAAAAACACAGTGGAGCACTTCCTGTATTACCACATGACATCACAAGGTGCAACAAAGCGTTTTCTTTTTGAGAGAAGAACTCAGCCTAAATATGAAGAATTTTTGCGTTAAACATCTGTGAATGAAACAAAACACAACTCCAGGTCTGTTTTTGATACGGAAACGACTTTACAATTTTAATCAGATCAGAAAATAGCGTAACGTGGCCCTTTTTAGACTTATTTTTAATCTTATTTTTAAAGAATTCAACCTGCTTTCCAACATTCTTTCGACTTTACCCTCTCTGTCCCCGTGCCTTGTTCTATTTCGGGGTTCCACATTTGGGTTGTGCATGTCTGAACTTCCAACACTAAAAATACTTCGGCCGTTGCTATGGGCGGCGGGAAATTTTTCCAGTATTAAACCCAGATACGAGCTCATGTTCCACAATAGTCTTTTTCCAGTACATGAAAGCTACCTGCGAATCCATGAGTCTCTTTTTAGTCCGTGGAAATCCGCGGGCGAGGTTTGAGTGACAGCTGAAAGGATCTGAGGAACGGTCCTTCACAAGAGCCCAGGATGAGTTATAGATATTGTGTTTGTTAATATTTGTTTATTGGTTTGTGTTTGGGAGGGAGTGAGCGCGGAGAGAAAACAAAGGCCGACTCAGTGTCATAAAAACAAAACTAAGAATCATTAAACGTTGCAAACATACATGGTTTTTGAGGAATATCATTAACATTTTCAAAACGATGTGAAACAGGACTGAACCAGGACTAAAACAGGACTGAACCAGGTCTAGACCAGGTCTAAACCAGGAATAAACCAGAATTAAAACAGGATTAAACCAGGATTGAACCAAGACTGAATCAGGACTAAACAGGGATTTAACCAGGTCTAAACCAGGACTGAGCCGGGATTAAAACAGGATTGAACCTGGATTAAAACGGAACAAAAACAGAAGTAAAACAGGACTGAAGCAGGATTAAACTAGGACTGAACCAAGACTGAATCAGGACTAAACCAGGACTAAACCAGGAGGACTGAAACAGGAATGAAACAGGTCTAAACCAGGTCTAAACCAGGTCTAAACCAGGAGGACTAAACCAGGTCTAAACCAGGACTATACCAGGTATAAACCAGGTCTAAACCAGGTCTAAACCAGGACTACACCAGGTCTAAACCAGGTCTAAACCAGGAGGACTAAACCAGGTCTAAACCAGGTCTAAACCAGTACTAAACCAGGAGGACTGAAACAGGAATGAAACAGGTCTAAACCAGGACTAAACCAGGTCTAAACCAGGTCTAAACCAGGACTAAACCAGGTCTAAACCAGGTCTAAACCAGGTCTAAACCAGGACTAAACCAGGTCTAAACCAGGTCTAAAACCAGGTCTAAACCAGGACTAAACCAGGTCTAAACCAGGTCTAAACCAGGACTAAACCAGGTCTAAACCAGGTCTAAACCAGGACTAAACCAGGTCTAAACCAGGACTAAAGGTCTAAACCAGGACTAAACCAGGTCTAAACCAGGTCTAAACCAGGTCTAAACCAGGTCTAAACCAGGAGGACCAAACCAAAACAGAAACAGGGCTCAAAGAGAACTAAACCAGGACTGAACCGGGACTAAAATAAGACTATAACAGGACTGAACTAAGACTGAATCAAGACTAAACCAGGTCTAAACCAGAACTAAAGCAGGACTAAAACAGGACTGAACCAGGACTGCGTGTAGACTGTCGAGTGACCTTTTTTTAGACCTGTTTGAGTCCTGGTTTAGTCCACCACTGCATAAAAGTGTACAACCTCGTCTTTAAATATTAACACCAACAAAGAGCAGAAAACTAGACTCTAACTTGTACAAAACATCACTGTATAAACACAACTTCATCTGTTGTATTACAAAATAAACAACAAACTATGACAATTTTTGGTTTCTAGATGCTGAATAATATTATAAACCCAGATCTGTCTTTATCAAAATCAGCAGCAGACTTTGTAAAGCGACAGATCCACACTTGTTCCTGGTGCTTCACACTAATTATCACCAGAATTAACACATGATTCTGACACTTTTGAGTCTGTGCAGAATATTTAACACCAGACCTGCTCAGAGTGACATCGGGACGTCCTGCCAACTCTTCTGTTTTAGTTCTGGTTTAGTTCTGGTTTATTCCTGGTTTTAGTTCTGGTTTAGTCCTGGTTTAGTTCTGGTTTAGTTCTGGTTTAGTTCTGGTTTAGTCCTGGTTTAGTTCTGGTTTAGTTCTGGTTTATTCCTGGTTTTAGTTCTGGTTTAG